CAGTGTTTCCCACATTCTGCATTAGAGGTTGAAGCTGCGGTAGAGGTTGAAGCTGTAGTTGTTGGATCAGCACAAGTCACTTTGAACAAAGGATCTGCTTGGAGTGATCCACTAAACTGAATGTTTTTGTTCCGAAATAAATCTAGAACCCCCCCCCCTCACTTGAATCCAGTATCAGCCCCTGTAAATAAGTCAAGACTCACCCTCACCATTATCTAGCTGTTCCTGTTGATGTGGATGGTGGGGAGGATGGAGACTGCAGGAACAGCGTTATAACTAAACTGTCGTTCAGAAACGTATTTGTTTTCAAAATGTTATACACAGACAACACTAAATGTTCCCAGAGTCCAGAAACCTGGCCTTTCTCTGAAGTTACTCCACGTTTTTTTTAACTTTTCATCGTCAGGAAAAGAATGAAATCTTATCTTATATGTTTGATCCATGTTACAATTTTACACTTGTCAATACCTCATGCTTGTTTATTCTGAGAAATCATGTAACTGATCAAAACAAATCCTCCCAAGAATAGTGTACTACATGTACACTTAATAACATACCAATACATGTACGTTTACATTGTCATACCAATACAGGTGCCACCTGTTATTCTATAGTATATATTCTGAGTCTAACCCTAAAATATCAAGTTTACAGAATATATTTCTTGTGTAAAAATACTCACACTTTAAGGGGGTAGTTTGTTTTCAAATGAAAAATTAGTTCATTTGAAAACATATTTGTTTTGTAATTTTATTTAAAGAACTTTTGTGCCAAACTTTTTTGGTGGACTTATAGTTAGAGGCTTATTTTTTATTGCGCTGGACTTGAAATATTGGACTATCTAATGGCATGTATCCATCTAAATAAAACTATTCCAAGAATTGTATTCTTGAAGGATGTATTAGTTTCAGATGCAACCCTGATGAAACATGTTATGATTGGACATCCTAATTTATAAAAATATCTTTTTCAAAGGAGATCAACATGGTAAATAATCAGTGACCCAAAATTAGTTCTTGTTATTTATGGATTTGTTTGTCAAGAGAAGGAAGATGAAATATAAAGGATCTCTAAAACTATGTCATTGGTATCAATGAAATAAAGACGGGCACATTCGGCTTTTTGTCATTGTGTTATTTCATTGTTAGTAAACTACCCGTTTCCTTCGTTTTTTCAAGCATTAAGAAAATTTCGTATGTTTCCCACAATTATCATTAATTTTTCATAAATTTTGTTTGATTTCAAACTGATCGATCATTCAGTAATATCATTCATTCAGTTAAATCATTTTTTTCAATAAATTATTTGCTAAATAAAATAATTTATTCAATAAAATTGTTTGATTAATAAAATTGTTTGTTTTATAAAATTGTTTGTTTAATAAAATTGTTTATTCAATAAAATTGTTTGTTCAATAAAATCGTTCATCTAATAAAATTGTTTGTTCAATAAAATTGTTTATTTAGAAAATTGTTTGTTCAATAAAATTGTGTTTTCAATAAAATCATTTAATTGTTCCGTCAAAAATTATCGTTTTTTGAAAAACTTGGTCCAAAAAATGGAGTGTTCGGTGAAAAGCTATCATTATTCGTTTTTTCAAGTTTGTTCGAATGATTTCTAATCCTTCATTTTTTTTTTTTTTATAAGCTGTAGATTTTTATTTTCTCTGAATGATCCAAGACATTGGTTTTTTTCTGAA